TAAATCCATGTAATAGAATATTAAGCATGCATATTTCAAGTATATTGGAAAATGGAGAAATCTGGTATATACCATTAAGTGAAAAGAGCAGGACACAAAATTTCATTCACAGATGATCCTAGCCAAGTGGAAAATATATATAAAGAAAACCACAACGAAATATGCAAATAGTAGCAAATGCCTTGGAATAAGGAAATCAAAGGTGATTCACTTCATTTCAAACTTGAATTCTTTGGGGAAATTTTCTCCAAAATACCAGGAGTACTGAATCGGAGCTCTGGGAAGCAGGAAAAGAAGGCCTGGCTCTTAGGTGCCCAGTAAGAGTCAGCAAACCCCAAAATCAAAGATGTCACTCCGAGTTTTTGTAAATTTATAGTAAGTCTATCATTGCAAGGCCATCAGCATCTGCCAAATGAAGACCTGAGAGCACGTGTAGTCTTTATTTATTAAGTCTGCTGTGGGTCAAGATTCCTGGGGGCAGCGAGATGGAAGAAATACAGAAACTAAAAAGATACACAGGATAAAAGATAAATGCCACTTTGCCATTTACCAAGACCTTTCAGGGACACAGTTCATTTGATTTCACTGGCAGCAATAGGCAAATCAAGCCAGGAGTTGGCACAGCCCACTTTCCAGGTGAGGAACTGGATTCAGAGACTCACTCTCCCCAAAGTGGCAGGGTCTCATCTTGACTTTGAACTTTAAGACCAGGGATCTGATTTAAAGCCTGGAGCTCTTTCTACCCTATCATGCCCTATTACGTTGTGATTCTTTTTTGTTGGTTTTTGCTTGGGGGCCAAGGCTGTGTGGGGCTGACTCCTGGCTCTGCTCTCAGGGATTACTCCAGGCAGCACTCAAGAGATGGACAATATGGGGTGCAGGGGATCAAATCACAATTGGCATTGTATGTGTTACCTGCTGTACTAGCTATGCGGCCCCCTGCATCATGATCTTCTAAAATATCTTGGGCTAAAAAGAAACCTCTTATTTGAGGGGGGGAGGGGGGGAAACCAAAGGTTTAGAAACTATTAAGAAGCTTCAAAATTGAACTGACCTGACTCAAGGTCAAAAGCTGACCTAAAATTTGGATGATTTGTTCAAAGTGACTTCTCAGAAATTCACTTCCTCACCTATAAAGACAGGAGTAAAATGATAAAACTGACAGTTCTGTAAGAATTAAATAAGATGAGTTACCTCAGCTAGAGTCTGCCACACAACTGATCTCAAAAGCACAACATTCTTCCCTCCATAAAGGTGAACTGCCCACCAGATATTGGGCACTTAATGGAAACACAGAATTCAAAATCCCAATTTCGGTACTTGTTAGCCACCCAAACCTCATTATTCTACTCCCATCAGCCCACCAACTTTTCACCAATAACTCAAGTAACTGTCCTAAAATCTTTAGAGACATCATCATTTTACCCAGGGCCATGGACGTGACTCAGTGGTAGAGGGCCTGTCTTGTATATGGAGGAATTGAGGTCAATTCTCGACACAATATTTGTAACAATAATAATTTTACCCAATATAACCTAAATCATGTTTGGTAGTTTTAAATTAAACTTTCTTTTATCCCAATAAATATCACCATCAGAGCTAAATTTTTTTCTGAGGGGGGGGGCACCCAATGGTGTTCAGGATCTATTCCTAACTCTGCTCAGGAATGATATCTGGCTGTGCTCAGGGAACCATATGTTGTGCTGGGGATTCAAACACAAGTCATACCAAGGAAAATGCATTAACCTTGTACCACATCTCTGGCCCCAGAGCAAATAATCCTTAAAAACAAAATAGCAATGTCAATTTTTAAAATTTTAAAATCACCTGGGGCTTAACTTCTCTTAAACTTGATTTTAAATTCAACAACTGATACTCTTAAATTATTTTAGGGGCCGAAGCGATATTACAAGGCGTCTGCCTTGCATGCAGCCAACCTGGGTTCAATCCCCAGCATCCCATATGGTCCCCCAAGCACCGCCAGGAATAACTCCTGAGCATTGCTGGGCGTGACCCCAAAAAAAGCATAAAAAATGTATTTTGGGGATGGAGCAATAACACAGTGAGTAGGGCATTTGCCTTGCACGGGGGCCAACCCGGGTTTGATTCTCAGCATCCCATATGGTCCCCTGAGCACCGCCGGAAGTGATTCCTGAGTGCATGAGCCAGGAGTAACCCCTGTGCATCGCTGGGTATGACCCAAAAAGAAAAAAAATAAATTTAATTATTTGTGGGGATCTGGAGTAGGGAAGACAGAAAAGAAACAAGCTCTTTTCAAGTTTTTCATTTCCTCCTTAAAACCAGGGATGGAAGTTCCAAGCTCCCAGTGGGCTCTCTAGATGTACAAATGGCCAAAGGAGAACCCAGAATTTAATAAAGCTTATCCTAAGCATCTAACTGAGGAGTCAGAAAGCTGGCCGGGAGCCACGGAGACCAGGGAGAATGCCTGCGCCACTAGCCCCTGAACCTTTCACCCGCTCCTTACTCAACAGCCACCATCTAGGAGGGAAACCAATAAACCCAAATGTTAAGTAAACAGAACGTAAGGGCATAAATAAGCCACGATGTGGAAAGTTGTCCATCTGCTGCTTGTAGTGTAGCATTTCGAATGGTGCTGCTAAGAGCCAGGAGTTTAATGAGCTCCTTCGACTAGGTAGCAAGAGATGGACATTCGCCAGGACTCACAGAGAAGCTTTATCTGCCCTTCTCTCTCCTTCCCGACTCCTGATAAGCACATGCCTGGTGTTTTGTGAAGTCCTAAACTCCTAATCTGAGAATCTCTGAGACTACCGAGGTTGATTTCTGTTCCAGTTTCTCTCCTAGAACAGCAGGATATCAGGAAAGAGAATGAACTTTGGAATCAAGCAGACTGAGTTATCAAAGGCAAAGATGGAAAGATAAATGGACATATACAGACACACACACACACACGCACATGTGCACACACACACACAGACACACACACACAGACACACACAGAGCCCTTCTCTGAATATTGACTGATGCCCTACTGAAGTCAGACCAGTTAAGTGTCCTGTATTTCAATGCCTCTAAAACAAAATGTTCTTATAAGATGATGATGGGAAGTTAGTGTCCAACTTAAAGCTTGGCACATAGTAGGGCTCAACACAACTTCCCCTCTCTTCTGACGTCCTGGACAAACCTAAGCACAGCCCACGGGGATGGTGGCTGGCTGTCCAAACAGGCCTCTGGTCACTTTGGCACATTGATACTCTGTCTCCTTTCTTTTCTCAACACCTCATTGCACCTTTACCCAAAGGTTACTGTGCAATATATAACCTTTTATGTTTTGTTTTTGTTTGGGGGCCACACCCATCACTGCTCAGGGTTACTCCTGGTTCTGCACTCAGGGGACCATATTAGATGCCAGGGGTCGACTATCCCTCCTGTCCCATTCCAGTCCAGAGAGCAGGGTGTTGTGGAGACGTAAGCAAACATACACTTGCTCCAGATGGATTTCTCCTGCAGGGGGCTGACAACACACCATGCGCTCCCTGTCTCCCAATTTCACTTCTCCAAGCCCTGGAGCAATGAACCCTATTCCACTGTGTAGAACTAAACCCTAGACCAGATCTGTCAATACAGTCTTAGGCCTCTGGCTGCAAACTAAAATAAATCCCTAAAGAAACAGCTGCTGTTCCCCCAGGAACTGACGGAAATGCGGGTCTGCTAATAAAGACCCAGGAGACCTGAGGCCCATCCCGCATCTTTCTCACCGCGTCTGGTTTGTATGAAAATAAGGACAAAAAAAAAAAAAAAAAAGAAAAAATTCCCCCCCCCCCCCGCCCCCCCATTGAGTCATTGCCTTAGAGGCTGCAAACAAGGGATTGGAGAGATACTACGGAGTTAAGGTACTTGCCTTAAACGCAGCCCCCCAGAGTTTGATCCACAGCACCCCATATGGCTCCCCAAGCCTCATCAGGAGTGATCCCTGATGACAGAGCCAAGAATAAACCCTGAGCATTGCCGGGTGTGGCCCCATGCTAAAAAAAAAAAAAAAAAAAAAAGCTGCAAAGGGCGGGCGGGAAGAGCTGCAGCGTGTCTCTATAAAGGAGACAGCGGCGTTGGAAGGTTTCCAGGAGCTTATTATCTACATGGGAAGAGTTGCGAGCAAGAAGCGCTTGCTGACGTAAGATTCCAGGCGGTGGTAACCCCAAATGGCCAAGAAGGTATAGGGGTTGTGTGTGTGCGTGTGTGTGTTTTAACTATTGCAGTAAGGTGGCAATTAATAGGAGATGCTAAAGAATCTCTTGTGCCTCTATTACTCTTTAAAAAACAAACCCGAAACGAGAACTTCCTTAAAAGTTACACCTCCTCTACCGTTTCAATCAGGCGCATTCCTGCTCCGAGTTCATCATCTGGGGACCACATCGTCTCAAAAAGTGGCTTCCTGCTCTAACCACAGAAGGTTCCTTTTGTGGTGACAAGCATCGGGCCCCAAAGAAGGGCGGGGCGGAGGGGAAGGTGTAAGAAGTTGCAAAGGGAGCCTTTCCCCTTTCCAAGCCTGACTTACTCATGCCCAGGTGTGTGCGGGGAGCAATCTGAAACCCCCCCACCGGTCCCAAAGACCCCCCCGTCCACGGACACCTGGAAAGCACTGGTAACCCCCGAGGTTTCAGGAGCCGCGTTCTGAACGCGGGGGGGCTCGGCACCCCCCGACCCCGGGGGATCACGATCATCCGCTGGCGGGGCTTTGGGGAGAACCTGGGCGGCGAGAAAAAGGGTCTGCGGGTTCGGGGTGCGGGGGTCTCAAGGAGCTCGTGCGGAAGCGCACCCGTCGCAGCACGCAGGGACAGCCCAGGTCCCTGCACGCGGGACAGCTCTGAGGCGGGGCGGGAAGCCCCCGGGCGCCCGGAGGAGCCGGCGGGAGCCCCGCGGGCGGGAAGAGAGGGCGGGGAGCCCGCGGCGGTGCCCAGACCCGGGCGGCTGGGGGCGCCGCCACGCTGCCACCGCCCCCCTCACCCCTCGGTTCCACTCACCCGACGCCACCAACGGCGAAGCCACGGCGCCACCCACGAAGACAGCAGCGGCGAGGACGGCGGAGCCCCGCAGTGCCCGCGGAGCCATCGCCGCGTGTCTTCGCCCTCCTCCCCGCGCCGGGGCGCGGCGTCCCGGCCTCCGCCTGGCGGTGCAGCTCCCGGGCCCGCGGGCGCGCAGAGTGCCCCGGCTCGGCCCCCCGCGCGCGCCCAACCCAGCCCCGCCCCGCCAGGCCCCGCCCACCCTGCCCCGCCCGCCAGCACCGCCCACTCGGCCGCGCACTCCAAGTAGGCCCCGCCCACCAAGGCCTGGCCCCGCCTCCCCCGCCGCTCCCACTTCCTTTCCAAGTCCCGCCACCAGTTTCAACTGCCGGGAATCGACCGAGGCCCCGCCCCCGTGACACGCCCACCCTCGGCCACGCCCTCACGGAGCCCCGCCCCAGCCGCCTCTTCTTCCCCCTCCCATTTCCTTTGCCCGCTCGGCTCCACTGGGTGGCTTGCAGAAGGCGGGAGCCCTAGGGCGCGGGCAGTGTCACCGGGGGGCCTGCGGGCATGGGAAGAGGGAGTGCGCGGGAAGAAACTCTGGAAGGGGCCCGCCACACACTCTTTGGCGAGGGCACCTTTTCTATTAACATCTCTTTAAAAATTTTTGTTTGTAATTTGTAAGTCTACAAACTGTACCCGATGGTGTTTCACTAATAAAAATTTTCAAATAAATTAAAAATAAATAAATAAATCTATAAATAAAATAAATAAATAAAGTTTAATCACCAAAAAAAATTTCATGTTTTTCCAATTTTCCCAAGGCTATTTATTGAAGATATTACACTTCACTTATTGTAAGTTCTCGACTTCTTTCCCATAAATTAGTTGACCCTATACACATGGGTTTATTTCTCGTCCATTGATTACGTGTTTGTTTTTGTGGAAATGCCATTCTGTTTTGAATACTGGTAATAAATTTTGAAGCCGTAAAAAAATTTTTTTTTTAATTTGGGTGCTTACTCCTGGCTCTTACGGCCAGGGGACCAGATGGGGTGCCGGGAATCAGGCCAGAGTTGGCCGCCCCCTACCCACTATTGAAATCCAGCCCCTCTGCTGACATCTCTAAGCAGCTGGCATTTCACCTGGGTGTAGCTTGACAAAGTCACACCCTGTATGTATGTGTATACACCCCCAAGAAAAAGATACACATCATGTAGGTTTTTTTCTATCCCTGGAATCATTTTAAGATGCACTGGGGTGGGGGGGGGGGGCTATATGTTCCTGCCACCATCAGGGAACAAGTGCTCCTGAACTACATCCCCAGTCCCTAATTTATTTCGCTCTTGACTGGAGTGCTCATACACTTTTCACAAAGTAGCTTTACAAACATCCACGCACTTATGATCACCTTCTATCCTCACACAGACTCAGGAAGGCAAGAGTGTCTCCAGTTCACAGAGTCGGGAGGAAAACCAGGCAAAGAGCTAGAATCCGTGCTGACAGCACACAGGAAGCAGAAGTGGGGTTTGGAGTTGAATTATCACCCCAAGTACTGACCAGTGGGACTGGGAGCCTAATCTGGGGTGTCTCCTAGGACAAGGTGCTCAAGTTCAGAGCAAAAGCTAAGAATACCAGCAGGACAGACTTGGTGGGGCCTGACACCTTGGCCTGGTAATTTTCAAAAGAGGACTTGCTGACATCCAGTAACCTGTAAGTCTTTTTTTTTTTTTCAGAAAAAATGTATTAGTTAATAAATGTTTATATTTACAGCAAGTCTACTGCTAGATTCTAAAGAACATTTGCAATGGGTTGGAAATTCCCAGGGCCAATGCTGGACCCCTAGAAGTGGCTGAGCTGAAGATGGATTCCGTCCTTGAATAGTAAAGTCAGGATGCTGTGTCCAGTGCAGAGTCTGGGCACTTTCTGCAAATGGGTGTGCAAATAGCTACATCCCAACATAGAAAAGAATGTTTTTCTCAGAGGAAAAAGTCTACCGTGGTTCCTAACTAAGAGAAGGAAAGTACCAGTACCTAAATATTAAACCATAATTGTAAGTAGAACAAGAAAGTCACATAATTTGCAGGGTAAGTTAAAAAGTTTTAATACTTTTTTGTTTAAAAAAAAAGATAGGAATTTTGGACTGAGGAGAGAATACAGTAGATATTTGCCTTGCTTTGCCTGCAACCAACCCCAATTCAATCCCCTGCATCCAGAGGTCCCCTGAGCATCATCAGGAGACATCCTTGAGTACAGAGCCAGGAGTAAGCCCCGAGTACACAGTCAAGTGTGCCCCCCCCAAAAAAAAAAGAAAACAAAATGTTTCCCTCTCACACTTTGAATTTACTGTTAAAAGACAGACTGTATCTAACAGCATCCCTGAACTGGGAGTTGGCTTCTGGCAGGAAATAGGAACTGCAGGCAGGGAATCGTAATCATCTACTAAAACCCTTATTTTACAGTTGACAGTTAAGTGACTGCCAAATAACTTATAATTTAGTACCAAGCATGGGTTGGAATCTAAAGTTCTGAAATTTACCTTCTCAGACTTTTCTGTAACATCTAGCCATTACAGATCTGTACCCACTAAAAGCTATCTGACTGCTCTGTTTCTCCATAGACACACATCTGCACACACTGTTAAAAGAAGGAAGGAAGGGAAGAAGCAGGAAGAGAGGAAGGGAAGGAAGAGGGAGAATGAAGTATAGCTTCAATGATTTTCAAGGCGCTTCTCCCTACAGATTTTCCACCCAATTTTGAAAGCCTTGAAACACTATCTACAAGTGTATGCCATACTGTGGCATATCTGAAAATCATTGCTTATTATTGTATTTTATTTTAAAGGGTCTCCCAAGCACTGTGCAGGAGGTTCAAGGGCCCTCTAGGCAATTCTCAGGCCAGTAGTTCAATGCAAGGAACCAAGGTTATTATGGTGGTGCTCAGGGCCTGCATTTCAGGCAAGTCCAGTGCCTCACCAGTGATGTTCAGGGGCTCTGGGACCCCACCCCGCTGTGTTCAGAAACCACATGGTGTCAGGAATGAAATTAGGGCCTGCAGCATGCAAGGCAAGCACCTTAAAGCCTGCCCCATTATTTTAAAGGTGAAGACTCTGGTGTGTTGAAAGATTCCTTCAGTGCTGTGAAGAGGATATCATATTTCTTCTGAAGCAATAAAATTGACTTCCTAAGACTAAATGATCTTCCCTCTGTTTTTCAGAAAAAAAAAATTTAAACTGAAAGGATAGTTGTAATGATAGTGCACGTGTATTCATCTCTTAGACTTAGTCCAATGGCTAAAGTTTCTCCTATGTTTCTTCATCAAATATAGACTCATAGTTCTGTGTTTTGACAAGTAATTATTTCTGATCCATACTTCAAAGCAAGGGAGGGATAATGCATTAACTCAAGTTCCCCCAGCTGTTCTGTGGTATTGCCAGGACTCAAATCCAAGATCAGCTTGTTCCAGGCCTGAACTTGAACTTCTGCTTCTGAAATGCAGAATACTATCCAATCAGCATTCTTTGTCCAGTATAAAGTCTTCTATCATTGTGTGCTTCACCTAACATTTTTTTAACTCTGTAGCAACAATTGCTTACAAGTTTTATTTCTTCAAGGAGAAAAATTTACTTCTGGGAATGGGCTCAAAAAAATATTCATAGAAACCAAACAAAAAAGTACATAGTCCTTTCTGAGTTTTGCAGAGTTTTTTGTTTTATTTTTCAGTTTCTCCGTAAGAATTCAGTTAATCATTCCCCTCAGTAGAAACCTTTCCTGTTTTCCCCTCTGCTGCTACAGTGGTAATTTTCATCATCATTATTTAAATGAGTAAGACTCAGTTGGCTGGTGCTTAATTAATGTTGAAAAGACTTCCGTAGAAGGTCTTGGTAGAATTTTTTTCTTTCTGTGATTTAAATGTAGTAATCTGTTCTTCTGTGAGATCATGCCCAGGAGAAGAGCTTGAAGTTATCTAAAAAAAAAAAATACATTAGGGGCCAGAGGAATAGTATTGAGGTAAGTCATTTGCTTTGTGTCATAACAACTATGGTCTGAATCTCTGGTATCACATATGGTCCTCTGAGCACAGGCGGGGCCACTTCTGAGCATAGAACCAGGAATAACCCCTGAGCACCACCAGATGCTCCCAGACCATAAACAAATAGTTATTTAGGAGAATACAAAAATTTGACAAGATTTAGGGTTATTGTGTTATGGCACAGAATATACATATATATGTATATGTATATATATGTGTGTGTGTATATATATATATATATATATATATTCCTAGTTCTGACTGAAAGTTGAAGTTGGAGAGGAGAATCACCATACAATTAATCAAATATTTAATCTTAATATCTTCATCTTTCTTTTAGAAACTATGTGTTGTGTTGTAATGTGTCGTGAGGCCTGAGTTTTACCACTGAGCCACATTCCCAGTCCTAGAATAACCTACCTGGGAGAAAGGCAGCAACAGCGTAGTGAAAAGGACATGGTCAAAGACCCAGAAGGCAGAAGACAAATTCCTGCCAGCAATTCCCTCATTCTGTGATTTTATGCACAGACTTAGAGCAGTTTCTCTTGGGTCGATCTTCTTATCCTTAAAATGGAGGTGGAGGGGGAGAAAGAGCAATGGAATGACTCTTTAAGGTTCTCAACTAGTCCTAAGAGGACACACTATAATGGGCAATCAAAGGGCAGGATGTGTCATGCCAAAGTCAGCAGAGACTGTGAGCTTTCTAAAAGTCATCAACACCGGGGCCCGATCAATTTCTTTTTGGTGACTGTCTTGAGCACTGTAGTATGTTGAAGCATATCCTTGGCCTCCGCCTACTAAATGCTAGGAGTAAGTACTCTACCACACCGTCAAGTGGTACCAACCCAAACTATCTTCAGATATTGCTAGTTTCCTCTGAGGGACAAAATTGCTCCACCCTTGAAAATCTCTAGAGGCATGCCAAGAAAACCAAAAATCAACTTGAAGTTCCAAGCAAGACTCATAGTAAAGGTGTTGTTTGAATGGAGCCTGGATGAAAATGCAAGAATTCATACAAGGGTGATAAGAGCGTCAAGCAGATGGACAATGACAGAATGTCTGGTGCAGGTCACACAGGGATAAGAATACTTGTGGGAAGGTGGAAGTAAGGAATCAGGCAGCAACAACTGTGGGTCACAGGTGAGAATACAGAGAACTTCAAATGTTCAGGAACTTCCAC